TGCTATTCTCCCAACCCAACAAGCAAAGTAAATAAAGACAAAGACTGTGACTCTATTTCTCCCTCAGGGTACTACAGTATTCCTGTCCTCTCTTATACAGTAAAACTCCTTTAAAGATTCTCTACCTTTTGTCTTCAATCTATTAAAATAAGACATTTTTCTTACATATGCTTTTTTCAAGGTCACAGTGACCTCCATGTGGTGTATCTAAAGGTAATTTTACCACTGCCTTTTATTGGACTTGGGACATCAGCAGCAATCTATTAAAATAAGACATTTTTCTTACATATGCTTTTTTCAAGGTCACAGTGACCTCCATGTGGTGTATCTAAAGGTAATTTTACCACTGTCCTTTATTGACTTGGGACATCAGCAGCATTTGACAATTTATAAATCTCTCACCTTTAAGAAACATTTTCCTTTGGTCTTCAGGACATCAAATTCATCAGTTTTTTTCCCTCATCTTTTTGACTTCCCTCTTGCTAATCTATTTCTCTAATTTTTCTCTCTCCGTATTTGGATTGAGCAGTGGGGTTCAGTCCTTGCACTTTTCTCTTTGCTTGTATGCTCACTATGAAATCTATCATATCCTGTCTCACACTATTAAATTCCAAGCGCTGATGACTTCCAAATTGATATCTTTAACCTAAGCTCTTTCCCTGACCTCCAATCTTCATATCTAGCTGCATACTGGTAAATTCTACTGAGACTAACAAACAAACACCTGAAACTTATCATGAACTGCATGTAGACTAATATGTTCCAATGAAGAATCACGCTGACCCTAAATGCACGTTTTTCGGTCATGCCAGACAAAATATTCACTCCCAGCTTTTTGCAATTGTTATTTCTTCCCTCTGCCTGGAGCATCTCCCTTTCACTGCCAAATCCACATGGTTACCTCATTTACTTTCTTTAGGTCTTTTTCCTTGGTGGGACCTCTCTCATCCAGCTTATAATCATGTAGTTCTCAATATGGACTATTTCATCTTTTAAAACTAGTATATAATTATTTTTCCTGTGTTTGGGCTGCTATAAAAATACCATAAACTGGACAAAAGAAATTTATTTCTCATAGTTGTGGAGGCTAGGAAATACAAAATTGTGGTGCCAGTAGACTCATGTCCAGTGTGTGCCTGCTTTCTCACAGATGCCTGTGTCCTCACCTGGTTGAAAGTGTGAGGTAATTCTCTGGAACCTCTTTAATAAGGGCATTTACCGAAATCATGACCTAATCATACCCAAAAGCCCAACTTCCTAAATACCGGCACCCTGGGGGTTAGGATTCCAAAATAGGAAAATTGGTGGAACATAGACATTTAATTTATAGCACCAGTATACTTAAAGCCTACTATATTGTCTATTATAATAAAAAATGCCCAATAAATTAATAGATGCCTGGAGATTAAAGTTTTTACTAACACTGGGAAGCTGCTTGAGAGTGGAGGGCAGCTCTCTTCTGATGAGGAAAAACCACCCCTCCTGCTTATCTTTGTCAGGAAATCTAGCTCTTCCTAGTCTAAACCAAACCTTTCCTTCCTTTTCTAGTCTTCTGTAATGTCCAATGTACAACACTTACTCTGGGGGCCCAGAAATTTCTCCTTTTTTTTTAAAATCATATATAAATGCAGATACAATTCAGGTAAATATTACCAATGCCACAAAAGTCAAGACCAAAGTCAGTTAACTTATGATAAAGGAGAGAAAATAACTCAGTATAAGTGATTTTTATGAATCATGTACCTGCACCAGAGTCAGGTGACTAGACACACTGCTTGCGTGTATTATATTTTGCCAATTTTTGCCAAATTATTTGTCAGAATGGCTTCCATTCACAATCCCACCAGCAATGAAAGGGAATTTCTTTTGCCATAGATTTTCATCCTGATTTTTTACCACGTCAATGGGATCTAATTTAACTCATTTTTCTGTGATTACTGTAGAGTTTGTGTAACTTTTCACCTACTGGTTGGATATTAGGGCATTCATTTTTCCTGAATTATTTATTCAACTCATTTGTTTTTCCCAATTAGTCTATCTATTGCTTTTTTATTGATTTTGATAAATCTCTTGTAAATATAGACATTTTTACCACACTCTTACTAATCTTTGTCTACTATTGTTGCCAATGTAATTGGCAACAATATAATAATTATTTATTGCACAATAATTATTGTGTAGTCAAATCCATAGTTTCGCTCTTTTCCTTAGTAACGTAAAGGCACTATTTAAGAATTTAAGAGAGTTCCGTTTTACAAAATCTACTTCTTCTTTTTTCTTATATCAGCATCATTATTTTACCTTCAAATGTAGATTTTAAGCTCACTTGGGGTCCATCTTTGCATGTGATCTAATGTAGAGAACCAAGTCTATTTTCATTACTTTAGTATATCATGACAATCCCATCCACTAAAAGAATGGATTCCTTTTTATTTACCTTATAATATCCTCTTTGTTACATATCCAATTTCAAATAAATATAGTCACATTCTTTGTTGCTCTTTGACATTAAAATATGAAAATATTTTTAATACTTTGGTTGTAGATTGTGTTAATATCTAACAGGGAAAGTCAGCAGTCTCATCTTTTTTATTTTAAAATGAACTTAGGTGTTCTTGGATATTCGTTTTTCTAAAAAAATACTTGGAGGAGCTTGTTGCATAGTTCAAAAAATTCAATTGCAGTTATAATTAGGATTTTATTGGATCTATTTGTCAATTAACTGGGGCAGAATAATGCACAATGTTCTTTATATATACGCGTGATATATCTATAGTTATTCTGACTTTTTATTTCATTTGATATGTATGTAAAATTTAGGGAACTTTCTGAAGAATTTATTTTACTTTGATTCCTAGGAATGATTTCTAACTGCTAAGTCCATCATTCCCATCAGGGAAGAACAAGAAGGAATACCAGAAGTGAAACTTTTCCTTGGCATTGTTCACTTAGAGTTGTGCAGCAGAGCAAATGGTTAGGAGATAGCATAATTATTTAGAATAAGGGCTCTGAAATCCAAACCCTGAGTTTGACTTCTGATTTTACTCTTTACTAATTTGGCCAAGAAATTAACCTCAATTTCCTCATATGTAAAAAAATATATAATAATATTGGCTATTTCATCAAGTTGTGAGAATTAGAAGGCAGAATGAACATAATGTGGTCGCCACAATGCTCAACTTATGGCAAGCATTCAATAAGCACAATTAGAAAAAGTGCACATATCCGGCCATGATTTCCAAAGTACTACCCTAAGCACTTAATCATAGTAAGTATATCTCCTTCCAGAGACTAGATCCTGGTACATCATTGCCTGAGTGGCTCACCTCCCACCCTATAGAAAAAAAATGTACTTTTGTCTCTATTTAATTTTGGATATTAGTACCTATTTTAAAAGAAAGAAATAATTAATATTTTTTGTCCTAAATTGCTGAGTTTGACCAGAATTTATAAAAGCTTAAATGAAAGGAAATATACCAATTTTTTTCTGATGAATTCTTAGGAAGCATTAGCATTTCCTAGCCCATTCTAATATGAATATCTACAATTCTTCATGATATTCAAAATATTTAAATCTAATTATTGTGTTCCCTGAGATAGATTATTAATTTCTATGCTCCATTATATGGATAAATAAACTGAATCCTAGAGAACTAAAGTGACTTGGCCCAGATTAAATAAATGACAGTATGAGACTGGAGTCCTAATTTCTAATTTCCTCTCTTTTATTATCATGGTCTTTTCACTTTCTCCTTAGTGTCAAGAAGAAACACTCAGTAAAAATCTCTGGAACTCTTACACCTTAGAAGGGTCATCCTGGAAGAGTAATTGAGAGTGAACTAACAGTCAATCTGAAATATGATTTCAAAAAGGAGGATCCTAGAAAAATTTGATTAGCTGTCAGGGGCATGTCATCCTTAACTCGGGCCATGTACAACAAGTATATTTTCAAAGCTTGTCTTTTTTTGTGCCCAAAATTCCATATCACTGAGCTTTATTACATAGATTTCTAGTCTAAATTGATTTGTATGACAAAAGGTTGTCATTTATCTTTTTCATATATTTGGAAGGGAAATTTTTCCTTTTGTAAATATCCTACAAGTCTCATTAAGTCAGTCTTGCCTGGAAATCCATGGCCCAACAAAGACCCATACATTATAGCTGTTGCTGAGAACTCTTAAATATGTCTTGCACCAGAAGACTTGTGACATAGGAGGACACAAAGCAACTTGCCAAAATAACATTCTGTATCCTTTGTTTTATTTTCCCTTTTAAGTCATGCCTCACAAAGGATCGTTCACTTAGAGCAAAATCTCTTCAGCACATTTCAGAACTGTTTAGGAAACTTAGCCAGAAACACACTAGTGTGAAAAAGCCACAGTCACGGTCAATATCACAGTGTGTCCTAACTGAGCACCTTTCTCTCTTTCTGAGACACTCACAGAAGCTCAGAGATGCACTGCTTTGGGCTTTATTTTCTTAAATTCTGATGCAAACTTTCCAAGGCCCCTTGAACTTGTTTGGTAGAGCAGCTCTTTGTGAGTCTATCTGTGAGTGATGCAGATGCATGAGCTCTGCTCTTTGGCTTTTCAAGACAACATGCATATCCTCCTGATAACACATGAACATATGCTTAACCCTGGGGAGTGGAGACTGTTTTTTAAGTCTTTGCTAGAAGGCAGGGAAAGGGGAAGTTTCATTTGTACTTAGCTGCCTGCTCCTCCCCCTGCTAAATTTTAGCTACACATTTCCTCCATTAAATTAAAATTGATGAAACCTATATAAACGTTGAGTGTTTGAAAATTGATAATCACACTGAAAAATAACAATAGTGTTGACTATACAAGGCAATTTCTTCCAATCCAGTAATTATGTTGATATGTGGTTAACTGTATCTACCCAGGAAGTGGTTTTATTTAAAAGTTTTGTGTTCACCCCTACCCCCATCTTTTTTTTTTTTTTTTTTTTTGTTTCTCCAGTACTGAAATTAAGCAGCAGCCAACACAGGCCCACTCTTACGACATGTGACTTTACTGTTTTCCGTTTTTGTTGAAAGAGTCATTAACAGGAGTTGATGGCAGTTTCAATAACAAGTTATCACTGAGAAAAGGTAAGTAAATTTTAACTTTATATTGTACATGAAATCTGTACTTGAAAATGCTTACTAGAGTCTCCTACATCTTGTTGCGAACATACAAACATTTCTACCAAATGTGATATTTTTACCTGTGTCTAACATCAGCTCATTTCCTTTGCTGTAGAAAAAGCATATTCTTTTCATATTTGCAACTGCCAAATTCTAAAGTCCTTTACTAAAATATTATATTAGTATCATTGGCTAAGATTTTAGACTAAAATATTAAATAAAAATATGATACAGTGTTAATTTGAAAGTGCTTTAAAAATAACTACTGGAAAAAAATGTAACTACCTTTTACTGACCAATTTACAAAAAAAAATGACTTATTCAAATTCAGATGATGAGTGACAAAAAGGCAAATAAGAAATAACATCTTGATTTCCTGTGTGAAAGGGACCCACTTTAAAGCATTATATTAAAGACATTTAAAGGCCTTACCAAGGTTCTGAAATATGTATATTATTAAATAACCTTTAAAAAGCAAGAACATTTTAAAATACAAAAAACTATTTTCTATCATAACAACTAAATTTTTTTCCTAAATTTTATTTAAGAAATAGGATAAAATGAGGTCAATTTGCTAATTTTATAAACAAATTGTTATGTTTAAAAGAGAAGTCTTAGTCAACTTCACTACAGTTTACTTCTGGGAAGATACAAACTAGAGATAGACCTTTGTTATTTAGGATAATTAGATAGTTTGCTTTTGTTTGAGGTATTCCAAAATAATAAACCTTACAGTTGAAAATGATCGGTTATTCAGAAACTGACAAGAACTTTTTTCATATTGACTTCATAAGATGAATGTCTTCATGTGCTTTAAGATAAATACAGAAAACATCAAAATATTGTTAATCTCAGAGACAAATATCTAAAATAAATCTGTAGATTTTTGAAAGAATTTTAATAAAACCCCAAGATATGATCCACTCATCCCTAATATTATTTTTATTGTGCTATTGAATGACAGAAGCAATGACCCCCACAACTGCAGTTTTTTTGTGTGTTATTAAAAATGGTTACAGGTTTGATAAGTGGTAACAATTATCTTTTTTTTATTGTTTTCTATTGAAAGACACATATAAATGTTTCTTGACATGGTCAATTTAGAAGGAAATTATTGGGCATAGTAGCACACTCCAGTTTAAGACCTCTTCAATTGTCAATACTGAAGCTAGCTACTTGTTGACTATTAAAATGATTATTGAAAAACATAGATTAAGATTTGGTATTCAATACTTTTTTATTGTTACAGTGTGAGAAGACCCTGGTAATATGTATTTGCTTTGATATTCTGATTAGAATTTCAATTTGTTGCATTTCCTCACAATAGAAGGCACTATTTGAATATGTCTTCAATATTGTGCTTCTGATCCTCTGATCCATAGAAGCTGTATAATTCAGATACTTTTGGTTGATATGTTATTGCTTGATTTCATTGTGTTATGAAAGAGTCTCACATGAATAAACCTTATACCTTAGCAAGTATGAATATCCACATGAGCATCTGGCTTGAAGAAAAGACAGGAAAGCTTATTAAATTGTTTAATACCATTAAAAATTCCTTATTTAAAAAAAGACAAGGGTTTCTTACAGAAATTGTTAAATTAAAATATAAATATTTTATGGAATATTTATAAAATTAAGGTGATTAAAACAGAGCTTGAATTTAGAAAAAGCAACTGAGTAAAGATGACAGGTGAACTGCTATAATTTCAAAATAGTTTTTGAAAACACGTGGTGCATTCTCTCTTGAACATTCAGACCAAATCTTAAGAGTCAGTTGCAGATGAGTTACTACACCTATATACATTTTAAATGGATCAGTAGGAAACCTGTTTTAGTGAACTAAAACAATGCAGAGAATCTTATTTGCAAAGTCGTTTCAAAGATGATTTGATAAAAAAATATCATGCTTTTCCATTTGGGGCCAGCATTAAACAAAATTCAGAAAGGAGAAAATCATTCCTTGATATTCTTCCATTTGCTCCATTTAAGTGCTCTTTTCTAGAACAGCTGCACTGTCCTGATATTAGAATCCCACAGCTCTGGTACTTAGAAGGATAGACCCCCATCTTGCTTCTTCCATTCCTTTCCTGTTGTCATTAAATTTTACTCATCCTATTTTCCAGAAAGTAAGGAATTTAATACAAATATTCCATACTCACATGGAAAGGTTACAGTGTTGACTTCCCCACCAGGCCTCTCCTTTTCTTTCCAGTAGAATTTTAGAAAATTCTCTCAGCAGACAGGATCCAAATGATCAATTTAATCTTGGGGATTCCAGTTTCAAGCAAAGAGATTGATACCATACAGTTGAGGAGAGATATTTTGAGGCAGAGTGTTTTGTTATGCATTTTTCCTGCCTATAGTACTTAAACACAGAAATTCCGAGAACATCTCATAATAAGAATTAATTACAGAGATGCATTCCTAAAGATATTTATACCTTTCTTGTAGCAGGTAAAAAATAACTACATTTTTAGACAATTTGATATTCCCATATATTTAGAAAATATTTAATAATATTTTATAGATGTTTTTTAAAAAAGTAATTTATTACTCTGAATTTAACTGTTTGGATACTTTTATTTTATACTATAAAATAAATGTTATATGGCCTGACTTGGAAATGAATTTGTAAATGCCTTAAATTTCAGCTTATGAGTTTCATCTGAAAACAGTCATAGACAATAGAAAACATCCTTTATTTATAACAAGTCCAAACACAACAAACTCAGGAATGGCTGGATGTTTCTCTCTCACTGTCTCTCTCTTTCTCTCTGTGTTTTTTTTTTTTTTTTTACTTCTTAGCTCTTCTTTTCACTGTGCTAGAAATAGTCTAGCAGAAGCTCCCATTGAGTTAAGAAGAAAGCTTCAGGTGGCAAAAGAATGTTTTTGCCGGTCACCACAGCAAAGCCTCAGATTTGGGTCTGACTGCATTAATTTGGATCACATGACCATAGCAATCATTGAACTAGGCACAGACACCCCAAGTGACCAGGCATGGTCACAGCCTCACTCTTGTATTGAGGAGACCCACACCTGTATGTAGCACATGATTTTAGCTGAAGAGAGGGTCTCTTGCAATAGAAATGGAAATTTCTTCCACAGAAAAAAAGGTGTCTGTGTCTCTTTTGGGTAAAGCCACAGAACCCCACTATGGTCACAAGAGTATTACATCTCAGCTTCTTCAAACTCTGCCGACAGGTACAGTTAAAAGCAGGTCTGAATGAAATAAGAGTTTCAATTAAACTGAATTATCTTTACAATTGTTACTCCATCAATGAGAAGCACTTAAAATACCTGTCTTAAAGTTTATAATACAATACAAAATTATATCATCATAATGTAAATAAAATGTATCACATACTATAACAAGATATAAAGAGTATTCTATTAGTGTTTAGAAATTCCTCAAACATTTTTGTATTCCTATTACTTACTAAGCCATAAACAAGAGAATTTTGTGAGCATGGTATCATTTGGTCATATTCTGTCAGGTAATTCAGGACAGTTTTTGGAGGAATTTTTATGGTAGTTTTCTAGAGAAATCTATTCCAAAAGATGGGAAGGATATCAAGGTAGAAAAATACGGAATATCGGAGAGTTTTAAAGAGTGAATTGTCTACTTTTGTTAGACAAAATGTATAGTAATGAGAGGTAAGACCAGAAGAGTAGTTTGAGATCATGATATAATGGAGTAGCCAAGTAGATTATGACTCAGGGCTGTAAGTAACAACTCTTTTAAAGCAGGAGATATACATAATTTCATGTCCACACTCTCACATTTCAGTGAGTCATCTTGCATCAGATTTTATTTGTTTCTTCCATTTTCCTCACTGCACTGTTACATACTCTTCAAGATTGTTTGTGACAATGCTTACACTCAATAAAGGAAGATATTCATATTAAAACAGGCACTGATTTACCTGCCCAGGTGCTTGAGGTTCTTATCCAGACGGTAGTTATTATGGTCTTGTTTTCTTTCATGGAAGTCTTCTTTTTGATTGTTTTTAATTTGAGAATGGGTGATCTAATGAGATGATTAAAAATCAAAATAAACCTTTCAGAGAAAATTCTTCTTATATTTTTATTTCTATTTCTCACATGCAAAAGAAATATATATGTATATGTGCTTATATTTGTGTATTTGAATATCTTCCTTTAATACGCTGAAGATAGCTTAACTGTACACACCTCTCTGTTTTGCATTTTTCCTTTCAGTAATATATCTTGGAAATACTTCCATAATAAAAATAAAAAATTAATGCTCTTTTAACAAGTGTACAGTGTTCTACTGTATAGATGCATCATATCTAATCAGTTTCTTACTAGTAGAGTCATAGTCATGGGTATTTGCAATTTTGCTAATACTATGAATAATTTTTGTAATGCTGTAAATTTGAAAATGTATGTTTAGAATGAATTCACAGAAATACTATTTATAAAGCAAAGGATAAAATAATTTCTGCTAAATCTTCTTTCACATTAGTTGTAACTTTTGGAACTTCTACTAACACTCAATAAGAATGTTGAAAAAAGTTCCATAGCTTTTAAAACAGATTGTAGTCCCAAACTTTTCAGGTTTCATAAATTTGTAGAAAAGTGTATCTCAATATAGTTTTATGTGGTATTTCTGCCATTGTGACTGATGTTGAACTTGTTTTTAAGAGATTAAATTTATATCTGTTCTCATTACAAAAATAATGGATACTTTCTTAACTATATAATTAAAGACCAGAACATTAGTAAGTTTCAAGCTTTGGAGTGGCATGTCAAAGGAAGTAAAGAATTAGGGATAGCATAGGTAAAATATCATTGTTCTAAAGACTGAAAATAGGCAGTAACTAAAAAAGGGGAATGCAATGTGAATGTTCAAGTGAAAGAGGAGAGAATGAATGCAAAAAAAAAAAAAAAAATCCAGAAACCCAACAGGTCTCAGAGGACGCTAAGACAGATGGGTGTAA